GTGAGGAATCGAGTTAGTAAAAATATGACCATCCATACGAAGTAGGATCACATTCCGACAGGAAGCAATAAGAGCACGCTCACAGGTGATGGTTTCCATCTAGTTATGGACCGAACCGATGCAAGTAAGTAAAATAGTGTGGCGCCTCGATTACTAATTAACTGACCGGTTACTAAGTAAGAGGGACGAGAAGTTCAGCTATTTCGATGATAGTGACCACAGATAGACTCTATCAGGTAAGCACCACAGATTCGGGACTGGGTTTGAAATAGTTTAACCACAGGAGGACGCATCGGACAGATTTAGTAGCCCCTAAAGCACATAAGGTTCGGATGACAGGGAAAGCCCAGACGAGCAGGTCGTTAGCTATACGATGCTGGACATGGTCCATGGCTCAGCGGTTTGAGCAGTTGCTTAGCGAAAGTGCAGTCATAAGCTTGAGTCGAACATGACTCAAGAGAGATACGGACTTTTGATAGGTCCCAGTAAGGGATGATATCGACCAGCTTCTTGCTGAGCGAATGGTGTACGACTGTGACAAATCTTCCTCAATAATACTAATTGCTCAGTAAGTATGCCTACCAGTTTTTAAGTTCGGCGGGAGCTATGTGAGGTGAAAAAGATCAGACGGAGGGTGGTTCTCAAGTGGTTACTCTATGATTTCTCGTCATCCATACGCTCATGAATGAGGGGCTGTGTTCCAAAGTGAGGCGAAACAACCGGCTGCTTAACTGATCCTACAACCGAATAAGTGTTGAACGCAGTACATTCTCGCAGGTGGAGATGTGGTGCACCTTCATACTAAGAGCATAATGTAAGGCTTTTCATTTACCTCTACGGCTTTGATCGACACTCTCCCAGTTAATTCCACCATATCTTCGACCTTCCCCCAAGTTAAGTGCGAATGGAGTTGATGCGCGGTGATAAAGATCTCAATTATTGCTGAAGGGAGTTCTCACCTAACAAACCGTGACACGTCATCGGAAACCGCTTCTTCGGGTGCTTCGTATACAGGACAAAGTGACCAAGGGACATGTACATAAGAAATTGAACGTATAAACGACAGCACAGAGAGAGGCGAGTGACCGGGCATGTAAAGAGCTACTATCCCTCACCTGTGGATTAAAAACAGAGGAAGACTCAATGGTAACAGCTGCAACAACTGTCTTCTTCGTTCCATTCAAAAAACCGGTCGCAGAACCGAAACCATCAGAACTGATCCCGGTGTATGAGGCAGTATGAAACGCAGGACACTCTTTGTAGGCAATCAAGAGTGGGCCGAGCCGGGCATCTACCTTGTATTCGCGTTTCAAGCGGGACAAAATGACTTCTAGATGCAAATCCCCCATTCCGCGCACAATCCATTGACCAGTTTCTTGGTTTAGTTTGGCCTTCCGGAAGTAGTGTGAAAAGCGAACAGAGTGAATGGGAGAAAAGGCAAATCATTTAAGCGAACCGTTATTAGGAGTCAAATCATAGGCAAAAGACGAAGAGAATTCTATATCAAGATGTAGTTGAGTTGAAACCGGTGGGAAAAAATCCATACGACCGACAGATGCGACAGTGAGTCATCAACGACACAACCAATGTCATGTTTGAACTGGAGTGGTTAAGAATCATATGGAAAGTGATTGCTACTCAATTGGATTACCAGCATCTAGCGCCCGAGAGATCTGGTGAAAATGCTTAGCAAACACAAATAGCCAGAGCAATTCACAGTGATGTCTAATAGACATTGTGGGAGAGAGTGGATTCAGGGCAGAATTCACTGCGAAGAATTAATGAGCAACAGACAGTGAAGCCTACAAAGTAAAAGATAAATGCAACACACGAGCCGATTCACAGGAAATACGTGCTACGTTATACAGGTGATCTTCGTTCCAATGCAAGATAACGACGAAAACGTTGACGCTGCATCACACCGGGTGATGGAAGTTAGATTTTCAAAGGGATTTGAACGAAACGTAATTTGCGCTCCAACTGTAAAACGCGTAACAATTTCAGTGTGTTGTGTTCCTGAAACACCACGAGCTTGCGCCTTGCAGTGCACGTGCCGGGCTTCACAAACACACACACACACACACACAAACTCAAGCGCATGGAATCGTTCCCGGACTGTGTCGTGACAACACGCAATGTGATCACAAAGTTGGCGCATTTAACATTTCGATACGTGCAATCACTGAGTTTCGTCAATCACTGCCTCGCCGCTAAAAAAACATCAACTCCGGCTATGGCACCAACCTGCATTTCGTGTTGCAGTTAATACTGCTTGTGGTAACCGATTGTAGCCCACATTGTGTTCAAAGTTTCAAATGAGAGAAGGTATCTTCGGGGGAAATGTTAGACGTACCAAGTCTCATTTGGTAGACTCTGCTTCTCACAGGTATTTCCAAGAATCGGGTTGTGCTAATACATAGCGTGGCAAGGCAAATTAACCTTCATAAAACTGTTGAGTAGGTGATGCCCATGACGGCTTATTCATAGTCCAGTCTTCTTAGCGGCTCACCAGACAAACTAATGGACATTAGTGGGTTCCATGGATAGAAATGAAACGCTGAATAGTACCGCAACAAAAGTGTGACAAAGTTCACCAAGTGGTCATAACAATTAGTTGATCGTTCCCTTCATCATGCGCTTCGTTTTGCTAAACAAACAACTTATCCCCACTAACAGCTAGTACTGAATACTGTGAATAGAGAGCGAGAAGATAAAAATCTGTGTTGCTCCATCGTAGGTGGATCGGGCACATGCGCGGAATCACGTCGCTGATTCCTACGCCGTTGCAGCATATTGCAGCTGCACCGCATCTTGTCCGGGTGCGATACAATCCCCCTACCTGTAGTCCGCAAAGTGGGCGTCAAAGAACGTCTTAAACTCCGACACCGATTTCGTCTCGACTATTGTCTCCGGCAACTCGTTCCAATATTTCACCACTCGACGCACGAAGCATAGAGGGTGAGCAATGTGCTTGAAATCCGGTACCACTAGTTTATACCGGTGTCTGCGTGTGATTCTTGGTGCGCGAACGTGCAGCAGCGGCTTCAACATAGGAAAGTGGCCCAGGTGTCGTATCCGGTGCGTCATAATGAGATCAACGCGAAGCCGACGATATGACAGCGTATACAGCCCTAGTCTCCTATATCGGTCCTCGTACGACATCCGGTAAACTGGAGATGAGCCGGGTAGCTACATGCTGGACCCGTTCCAGTCTCTACACCTCAGCTATTATGATTGGACAACGGGGGAGTGAGTCGTACTCAGGCATCGGTCTTATCATGGAAGAGAACAGACGGGTAGCAATCTCTTCAGATCAAGTGCAAAAGCTGCATCTAAGTGCCCAAAGTAGGCGCAGTCCGTTTGCGTACAGTCTGTTCGTGTTGCCGACAGACTTCAGATCACAGACTATGAGTAGGCCTAGATACGGTACTAATGGGATGCAGCCGGTGGCAGGCCAGGGTATACGCACGCCCAGTACCACCCCACTCCAGGCTCATAAAGCAGAACTTGGCCGGGTTCACTGGTAGGTCAACTTCTGCAGACCACCGGGATAGGAGGTCAAGGTCTTGCTGAAGGACAACACAGTCGTCGCCGGGAGAAGAACATAATCTTCCAAATCTTCAGGTCATCCGCTACTAATACCCAGCGCGACCGGAAAAGCTGTGGTATTTCGTTACCGTGGATTAGGAATAAAATGGGCCCCAGTACTATGCCTTGGGGTACGCCACTAGTGGACGGGTATCACTCCGTTAGATAGTCATCCACCTAAACCCGCCACTGATCCACTGGTGCAGTGCACCACCAACACCACACATCCTCAGCTTGTGGAGCAGGATCTCATGGTTCATTTTATCGAAAGTTTTACTAAAATGAAGGTAGATATTATCCACTGATTCCTCTCGATTCGACGCTTGTCTAGGCCTGAGCAACCTGACAGTATCCTGCCCACGCAATACAATGAATCTCACTTCAAACAAATTTCTGATGCTCTGGCCACCGCAGAGGATAATCAACGGTGCCCCAACTGCTGCATCGAGCAGGGTGGATAGGGGTTCGGATGCTACTGCTCAAGCCTTCCCGACTTCTTATTCCCCTTCTCACGCTTTTTCTCTTAACGTCCCGTTCCAACTCCACTTTTATCCCCCTTGTTTTCAACCCCCAATTCTCGGCCCTCCCCCACCTTGCTTCAATAGTCGAATGTCTTCTAGATTCGACGCACACGCTAACGCGGAGCGTTATTCCTGCCCTGTCAACAGACCCATGTCCAACCAAGCGGTCCTTTCCAGTTCATCGGCTTCCATTTGGGGCCCTCAATCCTTCTTCAGATTGGCATGCCTCAATGTACGCACGTTGCTCCAGAGCGGTCAACAGACAGCACTTGCCCGAACATTAGAGACTCTCTTGATCGATATCTCCTGCTTATCGGAGACCCGCCTGCAAGATTCGAACTCTGTACTCACTCTGCGATTCCCTACTGGTGACGCTAGCAGCACTTTCTCATTGCGCCTATCCGGTGACGATGCAGCTTCGAGCGCCGGCCAAGTCGGTGTTGGTATTGCCCTGAGTCCCTGAGCTGAAGCTACTCTGGTTGATTGGATTCCAATCAGGAGCCGGATGTGCGCGGTCCGATTGGTTGGCTCGTTCAAAGCTTCGAAGTCGCGTGTGACTAACAGGTGTCTATTCGTTATCGCTGCCTATGCACCGACAAACTATAGCGACGAGTCGGTAAAAGACGACTTCTATCGCCAATTGAACGAGCTCCTTATTCACAGAAGAAACTCGGACACCGTTGTGTTGATTAAGGATTTTAACGCTCAAGTTGGAAAGTTGTCCACTGATGAACTGCATCTGGGCGGCCAACATGGTGTAGGCTCCCGTAATAATAACGGTGAGTGGTTACTTCATTTGTGTGAAGATGCTCGCTTATTTCTTGCAAGCACTAATTTCCGACACAGCACCCGCCGGAGGGTGACTTGGCACCCACCAGCCTCGAACCAGCTGTGGACGCAAATCGATCACATTGCGATAAGTTACCGATGGAGAGACTGTGTCCAGCACCGTCGCTCAATTTGGTGCACATGTGTAGACACCGACCATACACGTGTGTGTGCTGACCTGCGGATGCGCTTTGGCGGACGCCCAAGACAACGTTGTGAGCGCATTGACACCAGCCAACTGGCGAAACCAGCTGTTCTGAATGCCTATCAAAGTACGCTGTCATGCGAGTTGGATAAATGCTCACTGGTCTCATATTCACCAGTCCATGCTAGCAGCAGGAAAATCATCATGTGGTATGTCTAATCGTCAACATGGACATTGGGTCTCTTCTCGGTCTCTGGAACTTATCGACGCTCGCCGGCATATCTCGGCTGGAAGTGAACACAATGAAACTCGCAAAGAGCTCCGGGCAAAACTCCGTACTAGCCTGAAGAGAGACCACGAATCCTGGTGGTCTCATCGTGCATCAGAGATGGAAATGGCCGCTGCCCTCGGGAACCATTCCGGCCGGTACGGGAAAAGGGCAGCAGGAGACCTGGTGTTAGTGAAACCATTTGTGACGAGAGTAGACAGCCTATCTACAACTTCTCAAAACGCTTAGAGCGTTGAGCCGAGACCTTTGGAAGGCAATTTAATAGACCGGAATTGTTAGAATTCTCGACGGCCACTGACCGCCCCGCTCCCTGGGCTGTCCCTTTGGATCTACTCTCTCGCTCAGAAGTCGATGGTGAGATTGAACGGTTGAAGATAAATAAAGCTGCGGCATCAGATGATCTTCCACCATCCCTCTACAAATTCGGGGGATCTGCTCTTGTGGATGATTTACGCGAGTTAGTAGACAAACTGTGGGAGCAGGAAACTGTCCCAACCGACTGGAACCGCTCCGTCCTAGTCCCAATTTTCAAGGGAGGCTCACGATCGGAATGCCGCAGCCATAGAGCAATCAGTCTGATCTCCATCGCCTCCAAATCGCTTGCCTCTGTCATCCTTCACAGACTGACTGGCATTCGTGAAAGCCAGATTCGTGAAGAGCAAACCGGATTTCGTCGAGGTCGTGGCTGCATTGACCACATCTTCACCTTGCGTCAATTTTTGGAGCACCGTCACATATGTTGGCGGCCCACCGTTGTCGTGTTCCTCGATATCAAAGGTGCATTCGATTCGGTGGATAGACGTGCACTTCGGGACTGTCTACTAAGGTGTACCTGAGAAATATGTAAATATTATAAGAGCATTATATGCGCGTAGCTCAGGCAGAGTGAGGCTTACGGTAAGTTGTCGTCGCCCTTCAATATGTCCAGCGACGTGAGACAAGGATGCCCGCTGTCACCTTTCCTCTTCAACTTCGCTATTGATGAAGTCATGGAAATCGTGTTCACAGGACACGACTTAG